TCTGCCCTTACTGATTTCTTAGCTGTGAGTGGCTGCTACGCTGCCAATTATTCGTCTATCTTTGGTGTCATCGCTGACGAATGGTTTTGTCTTAGTCGAACAATATATCCGCTGCTCAAATTCGTGAAGACTACCGAAGACGTTTAGAGGAAACTGAAGATCAAGCTGCCAGTGAAGAACCTTCAGTCCCCGCAGAGAATGACGAAACTGAGCAGAGCTTCGATGAATCCCCGGAGCAGCAAAAGAAGCGAAAGCGAAAAGAAGCCGCTAGTTTAGCAAAAACCAAACAGAGCAAAGAGTTCGCACGTCGCAAAGCTCGACGAACAGGGGAGCCAGATGATGACGATAATCTCATTGCAAGAGAGATCATGTACCAGAGATCTCGACCCATGCCAGGCCAATTAGAAAATTGTGAAATTTGCAGTAAACGATTCACAGTTACACCATATAGCAAAACAGGCCCCAATGGGGGGCTCCTATGTGCGAAGTGCTCCAGGAGTCTAGAAGATGATGGGAAAAGACCTAAGGCTAAGAAATGTGGACCAAGGACTGGACGCCGTCAGAATCAGAGCAATCTACTTGACGGTATAGCCCAACAAGGTGCGTTGAGCTTGGCTGAAATGTGCATAAAGGTATGTGTACATGCGCTCACACACACACTATATAACCATTACCAACTACAGCCATTCTCTGAATACTGACGTCACTTATCAGAAAATTGCCGATAATATCAACGATATCGAAGAATTCGGGGACTTGCCTTCCCCACTACTACATCGCCTTAGCCAGATTCTATCCAAGAGACGTGTCTTGACATCGAGGACCCTCAATCTGTTTCTGCGACCTGATCTGGACTCGATTAACATTTATGACTCCGCTAGTATGTTCATAGTTATAAATCGATGTATGGCCTTTACCTGACCGCATTCTAGAACTAGAGACAGACGATTTCCAGAAGATATTTGCCTTCATGCCTACCCTTACGAATGTCAACCTTCGTTTTGCTGGTCAAATGAAAGACACAGTCGTCGAATATTTATTGGGGCGTGATCTGAGGTTGAAATATTTGCAGCTGGATGCTGCCAACCTGGTTTCAGACTCATATTGGCGACGCCTGTTCGAAAAACTGGGTCCCCAATTAGAATCGCTAAAGCTGTCCAACATTGATTCTTCCCTTGACGATGAGACCGTTGAAGCGATGTGTAGAAACTGCACTGAACTTCGTCGCCTGAAGTTGAAGCAATGCTGGAAAGTTGGCCATATCTCCTTGCAAGCTCTCTCGTCCTTGACATCTTTAGAGCATTTGTCTCTAGACCTTGTTCAAGAGACACCAAATGACAGTCTTATAAAGTTGGTCTCTACGGTCGGCCAAAGGTTACATACACTATCTTTAGAGGGCTTTTCTAATGCGGACAATTGCGTTCTGGAGACCATCCATAATAAATGCCGAGCCCTTTCAAAACTTCGTTTGTCAGGCAACGTTGTGTGCACCGACGAAGGCTTCGCGAAACTGTTCACTGAGTGGCCAAACCCTCCACTGGAATACGTTGATTTATCCTCTACACGAGATGTGGATAACTCAAATCCGGATGGCCCTAGGGATGCAATTGGGCTTGCCTCTGAAGGCCTTATTGCCCTTATGGATCACTCAGGTCCAGCAATACGGAACTTGAATATATCATCCTGTCGCCATGTATCGCGTGCTGCCTTCGAGAAAATATTTTCGGATAGCAAAGTCTACCCCAACCTGAAGGAATTGGATATCTCCTTCCATACCGTCATGGACGATTACCTCGTAGGTCGAATATTACAATGCTGCCCAGCAATCAAGAAGCTGGTCGCTTTCGCGTGCTTTAATGTGAGAGATGTCCGGATCCCCGTCGGTGTTGCGTTGGTTGGAGGGCTTAAAGCACAAGACACAATCGTTGTCGAAGGCAAGTCCTAACCTATGAAGCTTAGCATGAGAACCGTCAATTTCTTCCAAGGGTCGTAATGTTGTGATAGACCGGCCGGGACGGTGTTACGTAGTGAGTCCGTCCACAGGAACTGGGAAATGGCTTCGTTTTCCTCGTTCTTCTTTCTTTGGTTGATTTCGTTCCCAGTGTCTACACTATTTAACTCTTATGCCTACAATGTGACTAATTGACAATGAATCGATTATAGTACGAATTCGACGACAGCGTAGGTTGTAGGCTTTCCTTTTGCCCGTACGTACTGTAATATGCCCCACACAAATACAGTGCATTTCTGGAGCGTCATGATCCGAAACGAAATTGAAGAGAGCAACGTAGTTACTTCACGCATGGTAGAGAATAGCACAATGCATAGCGGTGAGTAGGTGTCAATACGATGACAGCGACCCGCGTTGTCCTAACGTTAGGACATGATCGTGAGCCTACATCCATAGTAAGGCATAAGGGACTCATCGAATGACTGGGTCTACAAGTACATACATCTGCCGTTTAATAGCTCTTTGAGATAGATCATGTTACTCAAGTGGAGCCTTGAAGTGCAACAATGATAGGTGATCCTGGTCACCATCCACTTTGAATCAAAAGGGAAAGGTAGATTTTTTTACACAGTAAAAAACGATGCAATTGTCGGCTGCAGATTTGCTACTTATTCTGTGCGTGAAGGATACAAGAGACAGAATACGGAGTATAATCAACGATGATCACCTCGTACTCCGTAGTTCGCGTGTAATACGGTGACTACTCCGTACAGAGCATAGTTTGGAATCTCAATTGTATATGGGCCAGTCAATACAGTAAAATGTCGAGCACTACTCCGTAGTGAACCACGGAAAGTTACCAACGCCCCCCTTTTTTCCCTTCTCTCTTTTCTCGACTCCCACCCCTAGGATTCTCTTCCCTAGTCACCTAAATAAACAAATGACATGTAAAATAGCTACAAATAAAACCAAGTCTTCAAAAATCCTGGGTAGAGTGTGAAACATTCCTATACTTCATACCAGTCCAAATCTGGTTTCATGCTTTTGATACACTCTAAATTAGGTGAATATATTTTTTGAAAAAAGAAAACCAAAGAGAGAAAAAAGAAATGGGGAAAAAATGAAAATTAAATAAATAAAAGAGCAAAATACGAGAGCCAGCTAACAAGTTTTCTGCTGGTCCAGGTATGTTAAATTTTGCCACATCGGGCTTCACAGCGGCTCAGCTTGCCCCTGAAAAGGTCAAGTGTGTACTCCGTACAGCGTACTAGACTCCTAGTTCCTCATTTTTGCGCTTCCAAATCAACTTTCTTATCCTCTCTTCCGGCTCCCTTTCTTCAACAGCATATGGTGGATACGGCCATATCAGAAGGTCCTAACAGTTTAAACGATGGAGCTGCAATTTATAGAGATGGATTCTCTTTTGCTCTGTTCCGTATTTTGTTTGATACATTACACTCAATTTCTTTAGCAAGGAATAAGTGATGCCAACTCAAGAAAAAGTTATTACAAAGCAGCAGAAATACAACAGCGCCAATGCTTCATAAGAAATGAACAAAAAAGGACTAAGATCCTTACAGAACAAGGCCGACCGCGTAACTGAGCTAGAAAAGACCTCGAAATCCATGAAGCCAAGTTGGACGTTGGCATAACCTTAAATAGCCGGAAATACAAAGATCGCTTATTGAGATATCTACTATCGAGTGAAAGAAGACCAAAATTAAATAAACGATCATACGTTTTGTATTGTTGGAAGGGGTAGCACAGAGTGATAGGAGTATGGAAGCACTATGAAGCGCTAGTCAAGGGCCACCATATCCACATGGGAGATTTATTGACGAAGAGAAAGTCTCAGTTTGAGTGGCTCTATAGAACATGCCAAGTGGTACTGGCTCTGATTCGGTCAATAATCCCTTGTTCTCCTGAGGCCAGTGCCCCAACCGCCTGAATGGAGGCTGGCTGTGGAAAAGTATACTCTGTACTTACTCCGGAGTAGGTTTCCAATGTTGTTTTCCTTCTTTTACTGTACAGAGTCAGTAGCAGGTGTTGCCAATCCCCATTCTTTCTTTAGCAATCCTTCTTCGCCGGTTCATTACGTTTTCCCACCAAGTTTTCTTTTTGTTCGATATTCTAGATTAGATACAGTCCTCTCCTAGTCATTGTTCTTGTCTACTCCGAGGGAGCTGAGGTCACACCTTTTTGCTATATTTGGTGACGAGACTAGCGCTCAGCTCCACAACTCCACATCCCCTAATGGGTGTGTTCACTTTTTGGGCCTGGAAAGCGAGAGCTTTTTGCTCAACTATCTATCCAGCTCTTCAGTGCATACAACTTATATTACAGTATTTTTTGTTATTAGTCTTATTTTCTTGTTGATAGCTCTCCCTCTCCCTCTTCTTTTTTCTTCTACCCTCCCCTATTAACCATTTTTCTCTTTGTCCCCAATTTTGGTACCCTTTTCGTGCCTTCCGTTGCCCACTTTCGGCAACGACCTTGTATCTTGCCTTATTACTTTATTATTATCATTATTTCTTTTTTTTTAAGCCCACACAGAAAATATTCGTCACTCCGTATACTAATAATAATCATTCTTAAGCCCCGCTGGTGGTATGTGAGGGTCCTGTCTTAGCAAGCGTTGATTGCCTATGGACAGTTGTGCCAGAAACTTCCCATCTGACCACTCCGCTCATTCTCTTAGCATTCTTCTAAGGCCCCTTAATATCTCGACACCACAGCCACTAACTGTCCTTCACATTGCTTTTGGCTGTCTGTCATTTCATTCCTCGGCGTTCTTTCGACTAAGCCCCACCAAGATCGGAATCCGAGAGTTTTGGCAAAGGCCCAGAATCAGCCCAAACAGAAACAATCCTCCACCGCGGCCCTGTTAATGGGAAGCAAGTAGCGCTACTGACACAGAACATTTTATGATTATATTTTTTTCCCGCCATACATTTTCCGACGAGGATCCCGAGCTGGTGCTGCTCGCTAATTCTATTTCTGAAAGTGGTTCCGACTTCGCTAGTGGTCGCGACCTTCGGCCAGAGCACAGATGCCAATCAAACTTCCTAAAGGTTTTGCTCGGCGAAAATCGTCAGGAAATGCCTTGGAAGAGGGAGAGAATCCTCCACAATCTTTCCGAGTGTTTGAACGCCCTTCTGTTGATAAAAAATCCTATAGCGAGGGCAATCTCTTAGCCAAACGACTAAGTGACGGACAACGGTTTTACCCACCAGCCGAAGATTCGGACAACATCTTCGCGGAGGTTGATAGCCCAAGCCAGAGAAGCCCGTATGCTCTCCATCCAATCCTGCAGGTATTTCAAAGAGATGGCTGACGAGAACAATGATAGTGGAGGCTTGCATGACCGTCCAAAGTCGGCAAGAATTCACTCGGCAACGCACCGTTTAACGGATGGCCCTAATCCATCTGATACTCCAGCATCGCACTCCCGAAACCTGTACGATATACCGATTCCGCCCATTTCTGGTGCATTGCGCGCAGCTGGTCGAACATTCTCTTTTGGTGGCAGATTTTCCAAGGCTTCAGCACCGACGCCTCCTCCTCAGCCCTCCACCCCAGGTCCCTCTAGAAGTCGGGCAATGACAGCCAGCACGACCAGCACAGCGACACCTCCGAAACTGCTGGACACAGACCTGCAGATTGGTCAAGGAGAAGACGAGTTCCACAACATGTTCGATGAAGTTGGGAAAGGGGAGGCTTCTCGAGAAAGGTCAGAAGATATGGTATGATACGTAACTGAGACTATGCAGTATGTTGTTATTAACCCCCCAACGGCAGTTTTCCCCGTCTTCAGACCTGGTAGGTCGCAAGCAGGCAAAGTCACCGCGTCCCACTCCTATCAATACGGACCGATCGAAGGAAATCGAGCCCTCGCCCTACTCCTGGGATAGCCGACACTCGGGGGAAGGGCTTCTAATGGCGGGCGATTCACCTCAGGACCGCACTTCAGCATCACAACAAACACTGAATTCCCATCCTGTGTCACCAGAGGACCGTCGGAGATCCTTGCCCTTGTCGGGCGTAATGCCGAGGACCACAACTCATCGTTCACTGGAACAACCTCAGGCTATACCCGATAAAGGCTTGAGAAGGAGTGTTCATTATACTAGCAAGCGAGCCTCTACGCCCGTTGAAGATGAAGATGCCAAGTTGATCATAGAGTCTCTATATACTAATAAAAGAAGCTCGCAGGTGTTGTTGACTACTGAACATGAGGATTCCGATGCGGAGCATGACACTCCCCTCTTCAGCAACAACTATGCAAGTACTGCGGATGGTTCAGGCCGTTCAGACGCTAATCCAATGGTCTCACACAAATCGCTCGGTGTGGCCGAGGACCACCCCGATCCTTCTATAGCAGCACATGCAAGATTGGCTGCGCAGTACGAGGAGAGGCAACCAGCACCAGCAGCATCGTCGAACAAAGTGATGACACCTTCACAATTCGAACATTACAGACAACAGCAGGAGTTGAGAAGATCCAACAGCGATGCGTCTAAGAGTGAAGACTCTGCAGAGAGCGAGTTTGACGAAGAGGATGAGGCAGAGAAGAATCGCGAAGTAGAAAGGCAGCGACGGAAGCAGGAGGCCCATCTTTCGGTGTACCGACAGCAGATGATGAAGGTGACCGGCCAAGAGTCCCCAGCGCCAGCGCTTCGCTCAGAGGTTGACCGGGCTAACAACAGTACGCCGAACCTAACTATCACACCGTTGAATTCAGGTCATAGATCGGGCAGTGGAAAGAGCAGTGAGGGTGATGAAGACGAGGAAATCCCCCTGGGGATCCTGGCAGCACATGGTTTTCCCAATAGGAATCGTCCTCCTAGCCGCCTTGTCCCTTCGAACTCAATCCCCAATCTCCGAGCCTCATTTCATCAGCCTTATATATCATCCTCGAGCTCCATTGCCGATCATGAACCCGGTAATCGTTCTAGTCTCCCTGTTTTCGCCAGAAATCTTCCACGGGACCCATACTTTGGGGCGAGTCTAGTCAATCCTTCTAATAGGGAATCTTTGGCCTTCGGGGGTGGTTCTTCAGTTTATGGAGGCCCAGCAGCTGCCGCAGGACCCTCGCCTGCATTGCCTCCTGGGGGATTGGTAGGGGTAATCGCCACTGAGGAAAGAGCAAGAGCAATGAGAAGAGGTAGCCCCAACACACAAGCTATGTATGAGTATCAAGGTGGACCGTCGACAGTACCCACCCCACCTAGTGGCATTCCCAGGCCCTATACGATGATGAGCATGAATCCTCCGAGCTCGCTGGGCCCCCATCAGGGATATCTGCTACAGAGCAAGCACAGATACAGTTGTCTCAGCAAATGTCAAGTATGATGCAGATGCAGATGCAGTGGATGCAGCAGATGATCCAGATGCAGAGTGGACAGGTTCCACCTCAGCAATTAGCGCCACCGCCAGGCCCCTCGCCCATACTGGCGGCTAACGCGAATATGAGACCATCCTCAATGCCCTCAGCTGGAGGAGTCAACAATGCTCCTGCTGCTTACCGGAACGATCAAAGGACACTGAGTATGCTTGATCCTAACGTTTCTTCTCGTCTTAATAGCCCAGCCACGCCATATAATGTGGCAGGTAACCGACCAAGCACGCCAGCAGGGCAAGGCTATGCTCCATCCATTGCTCCATCAGAACGCAGCAATGTTGGACTGGCGCCTCGGTATAGGCCTGTGTCAATGTTACAGCCAGAGCCCGGACCAGCTGCTTTCCCCTTTATGTCAAAATCATGGAATGATGAGAACCAAAAGTCGACGCTCTCTATACCTTCAGATAGATCACTTCAAACCAGACCTACTGATCAAATCCCGAGTGGCGATAAATCAGCGATCACTAGCACAACGGGTCATGGCGCAGGCCCAGATGATGATGACGATGAAGGCTGGGCAGAAATGATGAAGAAACGTGAGAAAAAGCGCAACAATTGGAAGATGAAGAAAGAGACGTCGAGTTTTGGAGACCTGTTAAATGCGGTACATTGACAGAATCAGTAGATACATCCTTGCCGGTCATGTCGCGAGTATATTTTTGTCGCACACCCTTGCGCTTCACTAATCATCCCACCTTCTAACTAATGTAGTATTCATGAAGGTGTTATACGTCCCAAGAATTTTCGTTTTTCTTTCTTTCTTTTCTTTCCTTTTTGCCGCCCCCTTATACTGGGAGAAACGCAGGATGTTATAGGTGGTTGGCGTTTGACGGATAACTTTCTTTCTTCCCATACTTTCTCAAGTCTGTTCTCTCTCTTTCAGCGCCTGTACCTCCAACTATTTAGTAGGTACTCTATAAGACATACTATACAGATAACGTCTTAATGACACTACGATTAACCAACCCGAGCTTATTGTCATGATACTCCTGCCCAGGGTCCATTTTGAGCCTCTTCTCGAGCCCCTCGGGGGTACCATGCTTCATTCCACTCATTGCTCATGCCTCTCCCCCAACCCAAGAAAAACGTCGCATAGCTCATATTTATTATACCTCGCCTAACTATTGAATGGGCCAGCCTGCCATAGTCCTTACTCTGTCATATACGCTGAGTCGAATAGTGTTACCACTACTGGATGCACTTAAGATCTTCTAGGAGCAACGTGTGATGTTTGCTTTGGGGAAAGCCAAGAAATACCAATGACAGTCTAAGCAGACCCCAGAACGAGGCTATCATTCCTAAGTCATTGGCAATCACGCCCGGTGCGATGATGGTGATGTGACTCGGTGGAAATTGTAAAATATATATATGTATGTGCGTATATATATCACGTGCAAACGCTGAGGCTGATCGAGCTAGACAGTGACGACCTGCATACGAGCCCTGGGCGGCCAAACTATCAGGGTAGCCTCGACAACCGCAGTAGCAGCAATAGTTTCATTTTCAGATACAATATCGGCCTGACCCCAAATCTTTATCTGGGACGAGGTTGGAGCGTGCGCTTGCTTTACTCCAGAGTACGGAGTACTTTCGGAGCCAAGTTATTGGACTGTGCCTTGGATCTCTCAACTACAGCTGTAGATACTACTAGTACGTAGTGGCTTAATATTTGCGCCCCAGTTGAGGAAGCCCACACCGGTGGGATTTGGAAGAGTGTCGCCTTAAGAACATTTTTGCACCAATGGCTTCTTGGGGGGTTAGCATCATATCCTGCATCAGAACTCCAATTCTGGAGTAGACAATATAGATATCACAAGTGAAGACACTAGAAAATCAACCATAGAAGCAGATACTAAGGGGAGCTGTTCATTTTCAGATGACTTGTGTGCAAGACTAGATTATTAGAGCAGAAGCAGTCCGGAGAATACTAGTAGGCGCTGCGGGCGGCAAATGCAAACCACCCAACAAGGATAGTGTAGAATCACGTGCGTGTGATCACGGGATTCTCCAGGTGAAAGGATTGAGATAAGACAATGCCGTATCACTGAGCAAACATAGGGCTGCAAGAGCATCATTATTATCTGCTCTCCTCCAATTTCTGGTGTTGTCAAGCTCCATCCTTAATATAATACTATTGGCTTATCCAGAGCACTTTGAGTACCTATCTCTATTTCCCTACGGAGACATTATCAGCTTGCTCATTTTCTTTCTATAATTTGTTACTGGTATATTTATCTCAGCCTGAAAAAAGACGACCAGACCCCAGAAAAGCAACGATCCAAGCATAAAATACCGAGAAATACAGAATCCATCAGGTCCTGTGAAACGCCGACCCTGTACTAATATCAACTATACTGGGTTAAACAACGTCTAATCTGGGTTGTCCAATCTTTTGGTTCAAGATGAATGCCCCTGACCGGTAAGGAAAGCAGTGCTTTGACTATTCTTTTTATTCTTAGTTCTATTATTGTTGTTACTATTATCATCATTCTTCTTGCTGCTTGCAAAACCCATATAAAGTATGATTTATCGACTGCTTTCCATGGAATTTTTATTTCTCAATATAGATAAGGCAACAATGAGTTCCTGGTTGCTGAAAAAGGAAGGAGAGGGTTCAATCCACCAGTTGTCCTTGACCGTTCCATGAGGGCTTGAATCATTCGTGGTAGTAGATCTAGGGCATCTGCTTCATTAACGCATGTGTTTGATCTACTTGTGTTCATTGCTATTCTTCTCTCATTCACCTCTTTCCGGGGGGCTTTCTGCCTGTTCCCTTCTCACCCCCATTCTACCCCTCTATTCTCCCCGAGACCATGAGCTCCAGCAAAGAATATATTCTCTCCAAGGAGATGGCCTACGCACGTTGGATAAATGCGAACGGCAGTTCTCCACGTAACGGCTGCCAATCTACTGTCAAAGTTTCACATGACCAGCAACCCAGGTCTGCTATATCTATCATGCCGTTATTCCCAGCTTACAGATGATGTCGCGTCTATTTTGAGAATCCTTACTGGGAGAATTGGCTAATCATGGGTTGAATATAGTTATGAATCATTCGTCCTTGCGAATGGCGAGAACAAGGTTGAGATGGAGATTGATACACGTACGCATCCCCGTTACAGGTCTAATATGCTAGCAGACACTCAAGTTCGGTTTTAGGTATCCCATCCTCTGCCATCTTCACTTTCAATAAGGAAGATCATACTCTTGGAAACCTAATTCGCTCCCGCCTTCTCCAAAGCTCCCACGTGCTCTTTGCTGCGTACAAGGTAGAACTTCCGTAATCTGCTAGTTGCATTGACCTCTACCCCCCCCTTGTCTCTCTGTCTTAGAAAATCGACGAATATGACTGACATGCAAACTTTAGGTTCCTCATCCGCTTGTGCCAAAGTTCGAACTCCGTGTACAGACCGACGGTGAGATTACCCCCAAGGAAGCCGTCATTTCTGCGTGCCACGAACTCGTTCGAGACCTGGGAATCTTGTCACGCGAATTCACCAAGGAATATGAACTCCGCAAGATGGTGGGAGCCACTCAGCAGCAACAGGATAGTGTACAAGATGGAGCCTAGGTGATTGCCGAAACTAAAGCGAGCAGGTTTTGAAACCTTTGCTTCGGATTTACGCAGCTGGTTATGCGTGTGCTCGGTTATGTCTATTCTCTATTGCTGTCTTCTTTTTAATTTTATTTCAATTCCTGTGTGTTTGTTTCTTGGCACCTATAATCAACGAAGCTAGCTCTTGGCATATTCCTGGGGATTTGTATGTTATCTACGATAGTGATATGGTATGCGAGTTGTGGTTTTCGCCAGCGATAATTGATCCAGCATACCGCGAGGACTGTTGTGTTTGCTCGATACTCTATTGCATGATCGGCAGAGTAAAATGATTAGTTATCTTGATATTAAGTACTAGTAGACACCTGTACCTGTTTTGTTCCTGATATGTTGGTTTAGTTTAGGTAACTGCGGAGTTGGTCCAACCTACTAAGTACTAATCGCGACCCACTATCCAATTAGGATTAGCGCAGGCGCTCCGCGTCCCTGACTGCAGCCGTCGTCACCTGGCAGCTCCTGACTTTCCATCGCTACCTGTCTGGCGGCTTCTATTGTTTCGTTTGTTCAGTCTCTCTATCCTTTTATTATCAATCTGTGGCCTACCGCTTTTTCTTTCTTATGTGATTGTTTGATTGCTTATTCAATGCAAGAGCCGTGTTAGGAATGTACTCTTCGTCGAATTCCTTCATGGGCGGCGCCAACAGCGCTCGCCCGGGACAACCACCTTTCATGCAGCAGCCTTCATACTCTCAAACCCCCAACGGGCAGCAAACACCCCAGCAGCAACAACAGCATCAAGGTCTTGCACCCCAACCTACCGGATATGGTTCTCAATTGTCTGGATTCGGAGGCTCTCATCTGCAGCCTCAACCCACAGGGTTCTCGCCAGGGCTGTTGCAACCACAATTCACAAGTTTTCCACAACCGCAGCAGCAACCTGGCTTCCAGACCTCCGCTCAGCCGCCCCAGTTCACGGGATACCCCATGCAAAGTCAAGTCCCGCAGCTCCAAGTCCCTTCGAGTACTGGCTTACCGGTCCGGCTGGCCCCTCAGACATCATCCGCGATAGCGGACTCCTTCAGGGATAACGCTGGTGCTGCTCCGCCCCCGCCCCCCAAAACTCCAGGGAGCAAAATTCCCAGCATCCGACTCTCGTTTATAACAGCACAAGACCAGGCTAAATTCGAACAGCTGTTTAAATCAGCAGTCGGAGAGAGTCAGACGATGAGTGGAGAAAAGGCCAAAGACCTACTTCTGCGGTCAAGGCTTCCAGGAAGTGATCTGTCGAAGATATGGGTCTTGTCAGACACCACAAAGTCGGGCCAACTGTTTTTTCCGGAGTTTGCTTTGGCTATGTATCTGTGCAACATACGGATTACAGGCAGAGATCTGCCAGATGCGCTCCCCGAGAAGATAAAGAATGAAGTTTCTAGTATGGTAGATATCATTTCCTTTCAGGTCCCTGACACGCAGCCAGAGACGGCTATCCCCACGAATGTTCCAAACTTCGATGCGCCGTTACTGGAGAACAAATCTGCTCCTCCAGCTCCTCAGCAACCGCAACCTCAACAGCCGACCAATTCTCAGCTTCTCACGCAGCTCGCAGCGCAGCCAACGGGATTTCACACTCAGCCGACTGGCATTCAATCTACTCAGGCTTCTTTTCCTGGCCAAAGCTCAATTCTACTTCCGCAAGCCACGGCCTTCCCCGGGCAGTCCCAGCAACAGTTTCTACAAGCTCAACCAACAGGACTGATGTCTAATCCCCAGCCTACAGGCTATAGTGGACCCCGTCCCCCGGTGCCGCCGATACCCACGAGCCTCGGGCCCAACCTCAGTCCCGCACAAACCGGTGGGGTTTCTGGTTTGATCGCCCAGCCTACTGGGGCTCCCGGCCAGTGGGGCTTTGTCAATGCTCCGTCATCTGGATTGCCCAATATAGAAGCCCTTAAACAGCAACTAATGCCCCAACCGGGCCGTGAGGGTGGATATTCAGCCGCTGGTCTTTCCGGAAATGCTCACATTCCGTGGGCGATCACCAAAGAGGAGAAAAAGATCTATGATGATCTCTTTCGGGCATGGGATGGATTTCATAAGGGCTTCATTGGCGGTGATACTGCTATCGAAATCATGGGGCAAAGTGGGCTGGATCGTAAAGATCTCGAGCGTATCTGGACACTGGCGGATCCCCACAACAGAGGCCGGCTCAACATGGATGAATTCGCTGTGGCGATGCATCTAATATACAGGAAGCTGAATGGATATCCGGTTCCGAATCGCCTCCCACCGGAGCTAGTGCCACCATCAACAAGGAATCTCAATGACTCGATAGGCACAATCAAATCGATGCTCTCTCAAGATGCGGAAAGTCGAAAAGCGTCCGGTGCTTTTCTACAGCCGCAAAAAACGGGTGTAAGTTATCTCAAAGATCACTCATTCCGTGGTGGTAGTGGAGTGTCTCCCGGGTCGGGCCGCAAAGACGCCACTTTGTTTAAGAATAATGACGAAGCTGCTGCTGGGTATCGTTCTAGCGCCCGTCGCCGTGTTGGAAACAATGGTAGGACGCCGTCACCTGCTGCTTCGCAAGCATCTGAAGAGGAGTTGTCCGTTGGGCAGCTGAGGAAGAAGATACGCGAGACACAAATCATGTTGGAAGCAGTCGACTTTCAGGACGAGAATCGCGCCGAAGAAGAAGAGGCTCTGGACCGTAGAGATCGTCGGGAAGCAGAGAGCCTTATGGATCGAATCCGGCGTGTTCAGGATGACATTGACACACACCCGGATGCGGCCTTCCGCAACCTTGACAACGGTGCCGAGCGAAGGTCCCTACGCCGTCAGCTGCAATCTTATGAGGACCAAGTTCCTCAAGTAGCTTCAGATGTTCGACGGGTTGAGCGTGATATTGCTGAGGCTAAACTCGAGCTTTTCCGCCTGAAGGACGCAAAGGATCACCCCAATAGTGCGTCGAATATCGTGGGAACTGGTCCAGGAGGTGCTGTGACAGAGGCGGATCGTATCAAGGCTCGTGCTCGCGCTAGAATGCAAGCTCGTGCAGCCGAGCTTGCCGGTAGGCCGATCCCGTCCTCTCAAAATGATGATGGTGCCGCAACTCGACGAGTTGAAGTCGAAAGCGCCAAAATTAAGGCAGATAGAGAAAAGAATGATGCCATGACTCGTGATGTGGAGGACAGTGTAAAAGACTTTGCTCGAAGTCTCGAGGATACTCTGAAGGATGCGAGTGAAAATTCCACGCGTGAGCATGAAAGGCGGCGGTGGGAAGATGCTTTGGGGGTAGAGGATGTGATTCGAGACTTTATTTACGACCTAAAGCGTAATAGCCGAACCGCATACATTCGGAAAGAGGAGTAAGTTGCTTCCAAAATACTCCAGTTTCATTGTTCAACAAGACGTCGAATACCCTCTTATGGTACTAACAACGGTCTAGGGTATCGCGATCCATGCATGAGGAGCGCGAGCGTCCACGATACGATGAAGCGCCCGCTACCCGGCCTTCTCCCCCCCGGTCCACTGGCTCCACGGGCTCATTGCCTGGTTCTACCCACGAGGATCGTGTTACCGCTGCAAGGGAACGTGCGCAGAAGCGCATTGCTGAACGAATGGCAGCTGCTGGTCTCAAGCCTCACAATAACACTGCAGAAACCCTCCTTCAGCGTCAGGAACGCGAAAAAAAGGAGCGCGAGGAACGGTTGAAGCAAGCGGAAGAAGAAGATACTAGACGCGAGCAAGAAAGACAGCGTCGACTGGCCGAAGAGCAGGGTGGTTCAATGGCGCAACCTGTTAAACCGACGTCCAAGAAACCCCCGCCGGCACCACCTTCGAGACGTGGCCGTACTGACAGCGCGGGACAGGCGGAGGCTAAAAAGGCTGCAGAAGAATTGGCAAGAGTAGAACAGACTGCCCGGGCACAAACAATCCGCGAAGAAGAAGAGGCACAAGGGGAGAGGAGACGCCTTGAGTATGTGACTATAGTTGAGTTTTTGCCTTGAATTTTTTTCAATCGCTGACAAAGGATTCTAGAGATGATGCTAGGAAACGTGAAGAGGAGTTCCAGAGAGAGAGGGAGGCACAAGAAGCCCGCCTCCAAGCACTCCAAGAACAGGTGCAGCAAGGCAAAATAAAAAACAGGAAGCGAAGCGGCGGAAAGAAGAAGCAGACCGATTAGCAAAAGAACAGGAAGCCAAGCTTACTGCTCAACGTGCGGAGCTTGAAATGGCTAAAGAACGGGAAAGGCAGCTTCAATTGGAGCTGGAAGCCCTAGATGAGGAAAGCTCCTCAGATGAAGAAGGTCCAGAGAATATCACTCCCCAGCATAGCACCCCTGCGCAGAGTCAAATTCTTCCTGGAGTCGACATTGCAGTGCCTGTTGCCCCCTCGGCTCCAGTACCTCCCGTTCCTGGACCAGAGTCGGACGGACCGGCCAGTGCTACGAGTTCTCCAACCAGCGAACGCACCGGATTAGCCCACCTCCCTCTAGAGACTGAATCGAAGAACCCTTATTTCAAGAAGATCAGTCTGCCCACCGAGAGCCAAGTTGCCACATCACAACCCGCTCTTGGTGTCCCTGTAACTTCCCCCAAGGCCGACGTTCAGTCAACTAACCCTTTCCATCGGCTTGCACAGCAGCAAGAGAACGCGAAGCCTGCATTCACAACAGCGGGTCCGATAGAACGTGTGTCCCGTGCACGCCCCGAGACGGATGACGATTGGTCTGCAGCAGGATCAGACTTCGACTCATCATCTGATGATGATGACGATGGGCGGCCTGGCGGTGGAAGTGCGAAGCAGCTCGCAAGCATCCTATTCGGTACTATGGCTCCACCGCGGCCTTTGAGTGCTATGGACGACAAATCTCCTTCGAAGCCATCTACTCCTACGCCAGGTACTCCAGTAGCCGCTCCTGCAGCACCCGAGACAGATGGAACTTTGTCTATTCCCTCTGCTGCTCCCCCACCTCCACC